GCGACTCAGGCTTATCGTGCCAATGTTGAATGAATGACAAAGGAAACGTATATATACGTTTGGGGCGCTATGCGAGAGAATGTATATATACATTTGGACTGTTTAAGGGTTAATCACTGAATAAGGCACATTCTCCCCTCTCTCTTCCTCCTCCTCTGAAGCAATTTCCTCAGGTATGGTCTATTGCTGTTCTAGTTGAAGGTCTTGCAGCTCTTCAGTGGTTAGCTCTTCCCTGTGGTCATCCACCAACTCTTCCATGTCCTGGCCACTCACATCTAACCCTATGGACTTCCCCAAAGACACAATATTCTATCGTGTTTCTTGCCTTCTTTATCAAAGGGTTGGCACTCTGAACTTAATTGGCCCATGGTGGCTTATTTAGCAGTCACACTCAATAAACAAGCACAAAAAATAATGATTACAAAATGTTTCAGAAGAACATGCAGGGTGATGCTCACTCAATGAGAAAGGCAGACTGAGTCACGAACGAATGGGATACTTTGTGTGGGCGCGTGAGTGGCCGAGTCACGTGGACACATTTGGTACGGACCATCTTCAACTCTACTAAAACCGAGTAGATGTACGAAAACGGACAAAATTTCGACAATAAAAAAAGTCATTGAAAACCAAATCCTATGAAAACTGGGACATACGAAAACCGAGGTTCCACTGTATGTCTAGTCTGAAGCACCAAAATATCATCCAGGAAAAACTTCACGAATTTAACATGCCACACCAGGCTCATGCCTTCAGTTTATATTTGGTCACTAGGGTAGAACATAAAAGTTCAAATTGAGGAAGAAATAACACTTATATATTCGGGGAAGAACAGCGCAAACTGAGCAATTCTCTTCTCATGAGTACTGTGCTTTGACGGATTTATAGTGTATGGTACTGTGTGAAAAGGCAAGTACAGCGGACCCTCGAGTTTCAGCAGCATCGAGTTTCGTGAAATTCGACCTTCGGCAAGTTTTTTTGGCAAAATTTGGCCTCGAGTTTCGTGATTAGACTCGTGTTTCGGCGACCATCCGGTACCCGCCCGCCTGTCACCGCACACACCAAACCAGTCTCCCACGCCATTCACACTCAGTGTGCCATTGTTTACCAACACGTGACCATCACCCCGCGGGTTCATACAATACATTTCATAATAATCCATTGTTTTTTGTGCTTGCAACTGCAAAATAAGTCATCATGGACCCAAGGAAAGCTAGTGCAAGCCCTTTGGTAAATAAAGTGAGGAACACGATCCAGAGGGATTTTGAAGGGTTTGAGGCAGACCCTATCCCTGCCGACCCTCTGCCTGTTGTGGAAGGTGTTGTGGCATTGAGCAAGTCCATGGGGTTGGAGGTGAGTGACGGGGATGTGGAAGAGTTGGTGGAGGACCACAGGGAAGAGCTAACCACTGACGAACTGCAAGAGCTTCAACTGGAACAGCATCAGACCGCAGCCAAGGAACTTGCTTCAGAGGGGGAGGAAAAGAGAGTGAAGGAGGTTCCTTCTTCAGTGATTAAGGACATGTGTGGAATGTGGAATGAGCTGCAAAGTTTTGTTGAAAAGTATCACCCTGACCAAGCTGAAACAAGCCATATCTGCAACAAGTACAATGACAGTGTTGTGTCCCACTTCAGGGAAATCTTAAAGAAACACCAGAAAAAGACCTCTCTGGACAGATATTTTGCACGACAGGGGTCCAGTGACTCTCAAGTTGTTCCCAGTGGCATTAAAAGATAAGGACTTGCTACCTAAAGTCCTAATGGAAGGAGATTCTCCTTCCAAACAATAGTGTACACCTTCCTCCTATCCCCTCCTCCCGTCTTCCATCCACCCAGATGTCTTCAGTAAAGGTAAATGTTGTTATTATTTCTTATATGTATGTACTTGATTTCTCATTGATTTCAGTATATAAATCTTTATTTAATTTGAAAAAAAAATATTTTATTTTAATATTTTTTGGGTGTCTGAAATGGATTAATTTTCTTTCTTTCAACACACCGGCCGTATCCCACCGAGGCAGGGTGGCCCAAAAGGAAAAACAAAAGTTTCTCCTTTTACATTTAGTAATATATACAGGAGAAGGAGTTACTAGCCCCTTGCTCCCGGCATTTTAGTCGCCTCTTACAACACGCATGGCTTACGGAGGAAGAATTCTTTTCCACTTCCCCATGGAGGTAAGAGAAAATAAACAAGAACTAGTAAGAAAATAGAAGAAAACCCAGAGGGGTGTGTATATATATGCTTGTACATGTATGTGTAGTGTGACCTAAGTGTAAGTAGAAGTAGCAAGACGTACCTGAAACCTTGCATGTTTATGAGACAGAAAAATGGACACCAGCAATCCTACCATCATGTAAAACAATTACAGGCTTTCGTTTCACACTTGCTTGGCAGGACGGTAGTACCCCCCTGGGTGGTTGCTGTCTACCAGCCTATTTTATTTCCATTATTTCTTATGGGGAAAGTGGTTTCGAGTTTCGTGAATTTCGACTTTCGGCAGGCTCTCTGGAACGGATTAATCACGAAACTCTGGGGTCCACTGTACTAGAAATTCAGGCTTTGTACTTCAAGGCATGCCTGTAATCTCACACACATGGACAAAGACTGTCATAAAGAGAAAAATCAAGCAAGCTACTGTGATTGACAGTCTGTTGTAAAGAGAAATCCAACAAGCTACTATACTTAACCCCTGCCCCACTGCATTGTATGACCTAAAAATAATCCCTCCCCCTCTTGCTACCCAATACCCCTGCACCCTTCTGTGCCCTGCTGCACTGTATGACCCTTGTAGGTTTAGCACTTCTTTTTTTATAATACTTAGCAAAGATTGTTGTAAAGATAGAAATCAAACATGCTACCACACTTGACAAAGACTGTTGTAGAGAGAAAAATCAAACTACAATATTTGCATCTGCTAGTACTGTACTGTAGTGTGAGATGAAATGAGACACTTGACCCTCTGTGCCTCAAGGATAATCACTTCCTTGAGCCTCTGCCTGGCATTCCAGAAGCCAGCATTAGTCTTTAATAAAGGTATGAATACTGATTTAATTGTTAAAAAAACTATTTTTTGGTGAATAGTTTTGTCTGGAATGGATTAATTGTATTTACATTCTTAAGGGAAATATTATTTCGGTTTTTGGCCATTTCAGTGTTAGGCCGACCTTCTGGAACGGATTACGGCCGATAACCGAGGGTCCATTGTACATCAATGATTTACCAAATGCATCTAAACTCCTTAAACCCATATTATTTGCAGATGACACTATTTATGTCTTCTCTCACCCAAATCCAACCATACTAACATACACTGTAAATGCCAAATTGCTAAAAATATCTACTTGGATGACTACCAACAAACTATCAATATAGACAAAACCTACTTCATGCTATCTGGAAAGAGAGCTTCAAATGTACAGCTAAACATAATGATAAATGGTTCACTCATTTCTAGACTCACAGAGGGCAAATTTCTAGGCCTCCACCTTGACTGTGGTCTCAAATTCCAGACACACACATACAGCAAATATCCAAGAAAGTCTCCAAAACAGTAGGCATCCTGTCAAAGATACGGTACTATGTACCCCAATCAGCTCTTCTTGCTCTGTACCACTCTCTTATTTACCCTTACCTTACCTATGGTATTTGTGCATGGGGCTCAACCACAGCAAATCACCTCAAACTTTTCATAACCCAACAAAAAGCTACAGCCCAAATGATTACTAACTCCAGCACTAGACAGCATACTCCACCACTTTTCAAGAGTCTTAACTTGCTTAATAGACAAAACATCCACACTTACTATTGTGCCTACTACATACACAGAACACTACACTCAAGTATAAACCCTTCTCTCAAACTCCTCCTTGATAACTATAACAGAACACACAGCCATAATACAAGACACAAATCACTCTTCGATATCCCTCATGTCCATCTCTCCCTATGCAAAAATGCTATGCACCTAAAGGGCTCTAAGATCTGGAATTCATTGCCAGAACACACTAAAGGATCCCTGCCTGCAAATCAATTTAAGGTTCTACTTAGAAATCACCTCATCACCCAAAATTAACCAGACTCAAAAGCTATACAAAAAACTTCTAAATAATTTAAGACTGCTCAACTTAAACTTAATTCAACTTCATTACTGTATATTGTGCTAAGGATTGCTTAACGATATACTCATTACTTCAAAATTAGGATGCTTAAATTTCATTGTCTTAAATAATACTAAATTGTAATAATTTCATATTGTAAATTATTTTAAATTGTTCCATTGTAATATTTCCATATTGTAAATTAATTCAAATTGTACCACTGTTTGTAATAATGTAATTTTTATAAACTAATATTAAAAATGTAATTATTCGCTACTGAACTTCTCAAGCAAACTTATCATAGCCTGTTAGCATTATCTATAATAACTTGATTCTCTTGTACTCACTGTAAAACATCAAAGGTCCATATAATTATCTGTTATTGCCTTACTAATCTTAACATTAAGTTTGCCTGAAATGCTATGCATACAAAGGGGCTTTTGGCATGTACATCCAACTATTATTTTCCTTTGTACAACTATGTATCATGTCAAAATAAATTTCTTATTCTTATTCCAAGTGAAATACATATGAAAACATGCAGTATATACTGTATGTAACCTTTAACCCTTAAACTGTCCAAAAGTAGATCTATGTTCGCTCGCATAGTGCTCCGAACGTAAATCTACATTTTTTTTTACATAAAAATGCATGTAAAACTGAACGTAGATCAACGTTCGGAGTGCCACGTGAGCAAATGTAGATCTACGTTTAGACAGTTTAAGGGTTAAACTTTACCTCCACAAGTATTACTCCAACATCACTCATTCTTGTTTCATTACACTTCTAAAATCAGGGAGAATCTTTTGGTAAGATAAAATAACTTTTTTTTCCAAAATGGCCAACACTGAGACCACTTACTGTTGATCCTTCAAGAGCTTTATGGTTTAAAAAATTAGGTACCTGTCAAGTTTACTATGTCAGATTATCATATTTTATTTACCACACTTATTGTGAAATGCTAAATCTATGTTGGTCATTTAGGACAAGGAGTAGTAGAGACTCAATCCTCCAACTGTTAATCACAAAGCCAAGCTTTGGAAGCAATATTAATACTGAATATATTTTCTATTTTATAACTGCTTTAATATATAGATATGCATAAAAATTAGTACTGTATAATGCTACATAAAGTGAGAAACAGATTTTGAAAATGTTCAAGGTAAATTAACATATAGTAACAAATATTGTGCAGTACCGGACTGTATTTAAAAAACTTTACTAACAATTACTGCTATTTCATAAAAAAGTAAAGTACAATATACAATAAAATATGGTATGTACCACATTTGTAAAGACTCATTTTCCAGTACTGCATGTTTCAACCTGTCCTGCTACACACTGATAAGGCCTTCAAATTATAGGAAAGGTCTGCATTGGGTGGCACATCACCATATACTGTAATTATCACATTAAAATATGGCACAGTATATTGAAATACTTTGTTGTCTACTGTAAAGACTGAGACTAAGGAATGTTTACTATAGTAAATCCTAACCTGTCTACATGAATGAAAACAAAATGAAAAAATACTATATTGTATTTTAAAAACTTTGTAACCTTATAATATGCAAGTGTATACTACTGTACTGGCTATAAAAGTCAGTTACACAATATGCTGACTTTATTGTAGTTTGCAGTGAATTAACTTTGTGGTACAAATACATTTATAAACAGTATAATATAAAGCAGGCAATGACAGTGCAATTTTAAGCATTTCCAGCAGATCTTTGTTCACTCCAAACCTGTTGTAACTCATTTGGATCATCAAATCCATGGGATGCAATTACCCACTTATAACCTTCTTTATCATATAGTTTACGATAGAAGTAAAATTCCTTGTGGTGAAAAGGCTTAATACCTGCATATTTAGCAGCCATTCCAAGGAACACGTCATCAAAGCGGAATTTATAGGTATAGGTACTTCCAAAATATAAATCTTCTAAGCTCTTTCTTGACAAAACATAAGCACCAGCTGTCACATATGGTGGCCACTCAGAATATGGATACTCATCTAGTGAAACATACCATTTGCTAAAAACCCACCTGATAGGACGTGAATTTTCAAAAACATAACCCGCATACAAATTTTCTTTGTATTCATTAACAGCTGTTACAATATATTTTTCAAGATATTGAGGATAGTTGGCAGGATCCCTCAAAAAGCGAAGCATATTTCTTGTTGATACATAATAGTCATCATCTACAAACAGAAAATATTTGACTTTCTGGCAATTATGGTATGTCCAATGTAAGCCCATCATAGTTTTTAAAGTGTTGTTGAAGTATGAGTCTCTAAAGGCTGCCTGTATTATGTCTTTGTATTCCTCAGCTTCCTTTTCCAGCAACTTTTGTATATGACTATCTTCATTCATTCCTACCAAGAAGATCGTTCTGATTTCCACATCAGAAAAGCGACTTTCAAAACCCCATGAGTTTCGAATTCCCATTCTTTTGTCAAAATTTCTAAGTGCTGATTTCACAACATACATTAAGCGTATAGAATCTTTGATTTCACATTTTTCTGTATTTGAAAATGAATAGGGGTACTGAAACTCATTGATGGGCTTTACTGTGATACCCTCCCCAGACTTCAGTTGTTTTATTAAAGGGTGCAATGAGTGAAATGGACCCCAATGTGTGTAGTATTTAGAGTATGACCAAGCCAAGATGTACTGATATACTCCTGTGAGGTACATTAATGATAAGAAACCCACAACTGAGGCAGAGGAGAAAGAACATCTCCGTCGAAACATTTTGTTGCGGTGGAAGATGCCTACCTGTAAAGGAAAGAAAAAATATATAGCATTTAAAAAATAAGCTTAATTTAGCAAGAGCATTTCTCAATGAAAAAAGTGACAAATAAGATGAATTTGCAGTGGAAAGACTGTAGGTATGTAAAGGGTGGTGGGTAACCCATAAACGGTTCAAACGTATATATACGTTCTCTCCCGTAGTGCCCTAAATTTTTTGAGAAAAAAAAATTTTTTTTTTTTTAATAGGAAAAAAAGAGCATATGGTACCCAGGCATCCCCAATTACAGTATTTTAATATGGCACACAGTGAGTGCACACACCCATTCTCTCGTGGCAATGTTGAATGTATGACAAATAAAACGTATATATACGTTTGGGGCACTAGCGGTAAAAACATATATATATGTTTGGACTATTTACGGGTTAAAACATCTGTAAAGAAAAAATATTTGAAAAAGTTCAAGACAAATATGTAAAGTATGTATACTTGCAGTGCATGTAGATTTAGAAGAAATGTAAGGAAACAGAGTCTGACACATAAAAGATTTTTTGTGGCAAGCAGGAACACATGACTATTGTTTTAAGAGTTTTTGACATGAAATTGCTGTAGTTTTTTAATGAAAGATATACAGTGGAACCCCGGATGTCGTCCGGTGCGGATATCGTACAATTTGGATTTCAACCACTTTTTTGGGGCAAAATTTTACCCCGGGTTTCGTACCTCCGCTTGGAAATCATCCGTATCAGACACGTCTGCCCACCCGGGATGCAGCTGCTCACACATATGTGACTCAGTCTGCCTCTGTCACTTGTTCAGTGAGCAATACTCCGCTTGTTCATCCAAAACATTTTGTAATAATCCATTGTTTTTTGTGCTTGTTTATCGAGTGCAACTGTGAAATAAGCCATCATGGGGCCAAAGAAAGTGTCTTTTTCAGTGATTAAGGACATTTGTGCAAAGTGGAGTTAGGTGCAAAGTTTTGGGGAGAATTATCACCCTAACAAAACTGTTGCAAGCCATGTCTGTAACATGTTCAATGACAGTGCCTAGTCCCATTTTAGGCAAATCTTAGAGACACAGAAACAGAGCTCTCTGGACAGATTTTTTTGTGCGACAGGGGTCCAGTGACTCTCAAGCTGGTCCTAGTGCCAGTAAAAGACAAAGAAAGGAAGTAACCCTGGATAGTTTTGATACCTGAAGTCCTTATGGAGGGGGATTCCCATTCCAAACAATAACCTCTCCACCCTCTCCCCTCCTCACCTTCTTCCTTACGCCAACAAGAGTCTTCAATAAAGGTATGTAATAGTGATTTAAATGTTCATTTATCCACTAAAATTAGTCAATTATATTTATTTCTCATTGTTTTCTCTATAAAATGTATTTTTTTGCTAATATTTTTGGGTGTCTGGAACATATTAACTGGATTTACATTATTTCTTATGGGAAACATTACCTCAGTTTTCGTCCATTTCGGATTTCAACCGACCTTCTGGAACGGATTAAGGACGAAAACCAGGGCTCCACTGTACAAAAATAAATAAATAAATAAATAAAAAACACTAAACTACACTAAACTACAACATTCTGGTACTCAAACTAGAACATTATGGAATCAGAGGACATGCTCTCTCATACATGAAGTCTTACCCGAGTGAGACACCAACATGTGACCATGAATGAATACTGGCAATACTCTCACCTCGCATACTGAATGTCCATGGCTCAATCCCTGACCCTGCTATCCCTGTTCACCTAGCATTAAGTAGGTACCTGGATGTTAGTCAACTAGTGTGGGTCACATTGGGAGGGATAAGACTGAAGGACCCCAAAGGAAACAAGACAGACAATCCTCAATGATGATCTTGCTTTCTTTGGTTATCCTGGGTGACTAAACCTCTGGGTTAAAAATCCCAACAAATCTTATCTTAACACTGCTACTCACTTTATACTGCACTCTAATCTATTCTTACTTCACCTATGATATATGTGCACAGGGATCAACAGCAGTTTATCACTTTAAACCTGTTGCTACTCAGCAAAAATCAGCTCTCAATAATCACTCATTCATTCTGAGGCAGCTACAATGAAAGGTACAGTACTTGCTCCCATCCTTTTCCTCATCCTTATATCTGACAGACAAGAGATGTAAGCCACAGCACCATATCCTCCTTTGCTGATGATACCAGAATTTGCATGACAGTGTCATTCATCAAGGACACCACAAATTTTCAGGAAGACATTAACCAAGTTTTGAAATGGGGCTCAGAAAACATGAAGTTCAATGACAACAAATTTCAATTTCTATGCTATGGAAAACTCAATGAAATAAAATTTAGATTTTGCCACCTAAGTGGCTAGTTTAGGAAATAAAAACTGTATTAAAGTATAAAACAAATTCCAACCACACAATAGAGCAAAAAACTAATGTGAAGGATCTGGGAGTGATAGTGTCAGAGAATCTCACTTTCAAAGATCACAACAATGTCTCAATCACACCTGCTAAGAAAATGATAGGATGGACAACGATAACTGTCAAAACTATGGATGCCAAGTTAATGATGATTATCTTCAAATCGCTAGTTGGAGTATTTCTGTACACTAATAGCCCTTTACAAGGCAAGCAAAATTGTAGACCTGGAGAATATACAGAACTTTCTCTGCACATTTAAGCACCTAAATTACCAGAAACGATTGAAGTCCCTTGACCTGTACTCCTTGGAACACAGACAAAAAAGATGCATGATAATACACACTTGGAAAACCCTAGAGGAACTGGTCCCAAATCTGCACACAGAAATCACTCTTTATGAAAGAAAGAGACTTGGCAGGCAGTGCAACATCCCCCTAATGAGAAGCAGGGGTGCCGTGAGTACACTGAGAGACAACACAGTATGTGTCAAGGGCCCAAGATTGTTCAACTGCATAAGAGGGATTACCAACAGACCCCTGGCTGTCTTCAAGGGGAAGCTGGATAGTCACCTAAAGTCATTACCTGACCACCGGGCTGTGGTTTATATGTCGGTTTGGGTGTGGCCAGCAGTAACAACCTGGTTGATCAGACCCTGATCCACCATGAGGCCTGGTCATAGACTGGGCCGCGGGGGAGTTGACGATAGACCCCCGGAACTCTCGCCAGGTATACTACAGGTATCAACACAGGGTATCCTGGGCGATCTGCTATTCCTTATGTACATCAACAACTTTCTTAATGCTTCACAGAAGCTTAAATCAATTTTATTTGCAGATGACACAAATTTTGTCATCTCAAATGTAGTTCAGCAGCATTCAGCACCACAGTAACTGTCAGATTTGGGAAGACATCTACTCTCTCTCTAAATCTCTCTGGATCACAACTAATAAACTCATGCTCAATGTTGATAGGATCTACATAAAGTTTGGGAGCAAAGCTAAAAATATTCATCTGAACATAAAGATAAATAATTCACCAACTGAAGGAGGTGACGAGGGTAAATTCTTGGGAGTACACCTGGACAGCAAATTAAATTCAATACATGCATCTAGAATATGCAAAGGTGGACACTCTCTCAAAAATAAGCTATTATGTACCTCAAGCACCCTACTCACCCTGTACTATCTCTATCTCAACTATGGTATTTGTGCATTGGGATCAACACCAGAAAATCACTTAAAACCTGCTGTTACACAGCAGAAATCTACTCTTAGAATTATCACAATTCAGGTTTCAGGCAACACCTCCCCTTCAATCTTCAAAAGCTTAAATCTGCTTAACATACACAATATTCACACTTACTACTGTGCACACTACATATAGAAGACAGTACAAACATTAACCCAGAGCTTAAACTCTTTTTGGTGAGCTGCAACAGAATACATGAGTGGGTGGGTATGAGTTGGACCTGACTAGCTTGTGCTACTGGGTCGGATACTGTGCTCCTCCTTTAAGTGACATGTCTGGCCTCACTAGGTCAGTGAGCTTAAGGTCACTAGGTCAGTGAGCTTAAGCTGGTAGGAGAATTGGACCTGCCTCACATAGGCTAGTAGGCCTGCTGCAGTGTTCCTTCTTTCTTATGTTCTTATGTAATACAAGGAATAAGTATCTCTTTGATATACCATATGTACGACTCAATCTGCTTAGAAACTCCATGTCAATAAAAAGCCCCAAAAATATGTAACTTGCTGCCAAAATTTCCCCACCTGCCATCAGTTTTAACAAAGGTTGAATCATCACCTCAGAGTAAAGTAGTACCTCACTACTTCTACCGTCTCCAACAGATTCACCAAGACAGAGTAACTGATCACCTCAAACTACTTAATGTTTTTCACCATCTCCATAAATATTCTAGTATTTCATTCATACCCAAGTTGTACACGACTCTTATTTAACAACATCGCAAAGAAATATACCTGGAGAGGGTTTTGGGGGTCAACGTCCCTGCGGCTCGGTCTGAGATCAGGCTCTGCGGTGGATATGGGTCTGATCAACCAGGCTGTTACTGCTGGTCGCACACAAACTGACGTAAGAACCACAGCCCGGTTGGTCAGGTACTGACTTTAGGCACCTGTCCAGTGTCTTCTTGAAGGCAGCCAGGGGTCTATCGGTAATCCTCCTTATGCATGTTGAGATGCAGTAGAACAGTCTTGGGCCCCAGACACTTATTGTGTTGTATCTCAGTGTACTCATGGCACCCCTGCTTTTCATCGGGGGAATGTTGCATCTCTGCCGAGTCTTTTGCTGTCATAGGGAGTGATTTTCGTGTGCAAGTTTGTCACTAATCCCTGGATTAGATTTTACATTTTTTAGATTTTGCCACCGAAGTGGCTAGTTTATTGTGCAGCCCATAATCCCTGGAGGCTACCTGGAAGTTTAAAATTATGCATAAAGCTTATGAAACTAACTGCAGTCAGATATGAAATAATAATACGTACAAACTAACCTCAATAAAAATAAGAATCTCGTCAGGTAATTACTCCATAATCTTGTGGTTGTTGGGGTTATTCAAGGTTACCACTACCTCCCGGAGTCCCGAGAAAAGATATTGCCCAAATCTGAACGGGAATAAGAAAGGAAACAATGTTTCCTCTGGAAAGAGAAACAACAACATTACATTCCCAGCTTAGAGCAGGTGCACCCCAGGCCTAGACACCAGCAGCCAAGCTTCTTACTCCCTGAAGATGGCCGTCTCCACTCCACAAATGCCGACGCTAAAGTCTAATTTCGTGGTCTTTTTCTTGTTGTTGGGGTTTATAGTCCCACTGACAGCTGTCGCCGTATCGAGCCCTTCCTTCCGGTGTAATCTCGTAGTATTTAAGAGAGCGGGATCCTTATCGAGTTGGGGTTATAGGGTCACTGGCAGCTTACGTCGTATCGAGCCCTGCCTTCCAGTATAATTTCGTAATATTTAAGAAATGGATCTTCTTAATCTAGTTCAGTGGTTCTCAACTGGTGGTCCATGGTGACATTTTGGGTGGTCCACAGAACGTTCACTATATTTCGTAATAAACTGAAGATTGGTACATATATATATATTTCAGACCAAAATGTTAGATATCTAGGATTTTATATAACTTCTCGAATTTCTGTTTATAAGAGATATATTCCAATCAAATTGTCTGTTGTCTTTGCTTTGCCTTTATATATCATTACTCAAAAATTGAAATGGTCCACGATATTTTTATAATTGGGTTGATGGTCAATGGGCTGAGTTGAGAACCACTGTTCTAGTTGGAGGGTTATAAGGTCACTGGCAGCTCACGTCGTATCGAACCCTGCCCTGCCCCGTGGCCTGGTGGCAAGATAAGATGAGATTTCGTTCGGATTTTTAACCCCGGGGGGTTAGCCACCCAGGATAACCCAAGAAAGTCAGTGCGTCATCGAGGACTGTCTAACTTATTTCCATTGGGGTCCTTAATCTTGTCCCCCAGGATGCGACCCACACCAGTCGACTAACACCTAGGTACCTATTTGCTGCTAGGTGAACAGGACAATAGGTGTAAGAAAACGTGTCGAAATGTTTCCACCCGCCGGGAATCGAACCCGGGCCCTCCGTGTGTGAAGCGGGAGCTATAGCCACCAGGCCACACAGCGAGTGTCCAGGTTCGATTCCCAGCGAAAGGGTGGAAACATCGGACGTGTTTCTTTACACAGGTTGTCTATGTTCCCCAGCAGTAAAATAGGTACCTGGGTGTTAGTCGATTGGTGTGGGTCGCATTCTGGAGAGTTTACCTGGAGAAGATTTCGGGGGTCAACACCCCCGCACCCCAAAGAACAAAACTGACCTAATTTGCCCGAAATGGTCTGCATAACAAGCTGCTTTCTATATAGTAATATGTCATTGATATCAGCTAGGCCTGTATACTATGTGCATGCACTTGTAAATAAAGATATATTATTATTATTATTATTATTATTATTTATTATTATTATTATTATTATTATTATTATTATTATTATTATTATTATTATTATTATTATTATTATTATTATTACTATTATTATTATATAATTTAGTAGTATTTAAGAGATGGATCTCCTTAATCTAGTTAGAGGGTTATAGGGCCACTGGCAGCTTACGCCGTATCGAGCCCTGACTCCCAATGTACGAGAAAGTAAGAGTGCCCAAAGCTGGACGTTGCAAGAAAAGGCAACATAAACCAAACATAAATAAAAAGTTCCAAATTAAATCATGTAGATTCATTGCCCAAGACTCAGCAGAGTGGGACATTAACACCCTCATCATGTCGGTTTTCAAAACCATTCATCACACCCTCATCAGAGTTCAATAACCCGCTTCCCACCCGAAGTTGCTGTGTCGCCTGAGTGGCTAGTCTATTGTTGAAGAATGAGACACTTCTACAAGGTTAGGGAATCTGTATTGTGGAAATGATTTGCCAGCGAGTGGATTCTTTAGTCCAGTACATAGAAGAACGGTGAACTGAAGAAGCCACTAGCTGGCGAAACGTTCCACAATAAAGATTCCTAAATATTACATGTCTCATTCTTCAACTTATCGGTTTTTTTTAACCCATTGATACTAAGCTAGTTTATTGTGCAATCCATGCTCATTTTGTGAGCAGTAGCGCAAAAAAACGGGATTACAAAGGTCACAGCTGCAGTTAAACATATCTATGGGAAAGTAACAGGATCAGTAGATTGCAAGCTTGTAGATGAATGGTTCAAAGAACCGACACATTGATAAATTAGACACATGTGCAACTCTTGGGTATCTTTGTTGAGGAAACGTTTCGCAACACAGTGGCTTCATCAGTCCATACAAAGGATAAACTTGAAGAACAGGAGGAGAATGGGGTAATCAGTCCCTCAACCTTGAGTCGATGTGGTCAGTCCATCAATCTTGAATAGAATACAAGATTGATGGACTGACCACATCGACTCAAGGTTGAGGGACTGATTACCTCATTCTCCTCCTGTTCTTCAAGTTTATTCTTTGTATGGACTGATGAAGCCACTGTGTGGCGAAACGTTTCCTCAATAAAGATACCCAAGAGTTGCACATGTGTCTAATTTATCAGATTTCAAGTTGTTGTTACTGCTAGACTAAGGCTAGGCTATAAGTATCTCTGGCAGTACGGTTTGTCAATGACAAAAAATGCAGTGTGGACAGAGACGATCATTCACTAGCGTATCTCACATCTACTCGACAGTAGAGTTGCAAGATTCTGTACGAGGCACAAGTACACTCACACCTTGAGTATGTTCCATTTTCCTGGGTTGCCTGCCACCCTTCCCATCTGCGACTGCTTGACAGAATACAGAACAGAACAAGACGACTCATTTCTCGCCTAGACCCAGCCTGGATAGATATGTCATATCAGCAGTCCCTTCAACACCGGAGAGATGTGGGAGGCCTCACTGTCATCTACAAGGCCAACATTGTCAAGATACCACTGTCTACACAAGACGGGCAGCAAGCAGCAATTTAACTCTGGCTGTACCCTTCTCCAGAACATCACTTCATCTGAGATCATTTATTCCTAGAATGACTCGAGTCTAGAACATGTTCGTGCAGCATAATGATATCAACGAGATAAAATCAGTTGATCAAATGAAAATGCTGGCCCACAGATGACTCCAACTTCATCCTGTTCCCTACTTGTAAGTTTCATAACAATAAAAAGGTTTTCAAATGAGTTGATGCAGGTAACAGCTCTTAGCTTGCCAATAAAGTTAGGAATCCTTAACCAAGCCTTGTTAAACCCGATGTAAGAAAAAAATCCAACTTTTCAGATTCACATCCATGTAAACCTTACTTTTATTGTTAATTATAAAATATCTGAAATCCTGAGTGTATCCACAATTTCCATCGAATAGATTAATTATTTTTTGAAGAGATTGCAGCCCAATAATGACTAATGTTTTAGTGGTAATAAGATACTTAGTGTTATAGAGATTGTAGCTCTATATTGTATTATGTTCATAAGCTATATGAAGATATTTTAATATGTATAAATTGACCGAAATATATATTTTTTATGATGTAACTGTGCCTGGTGCGGTCTGATAAAGACCCATTTTGACTTCTATAATCCTTTTTTTACACTACCACTCACAAGATCAGCATGGGGTGCACAATAACGTAGCCTCTCAGGCGGCACAACTAAATTAGCAAGAACTGCCTCATTCTTCCAGGATCTGTTTAACCCCGTATGGATTTAGCGCTTTCCTTAAGAATGTAATTAAGAATGAAAAAGAACCCACCGGTGGCGAAACATTTCCTCAGTAAATGTCTTTAACTGTGAATATGCGTCATGTACATATTTTTAAACGAATTAAAATTTATTTATATATGAATTTTTATAGTGGATTGAAAGCCTAATAATATGTTCATATGTACTGCTCAAGTATGACCAATACCATTATCATTATTTATTATTATTATAATCAAGGGGGAGCACTAAACCCGTAGGATTATGCAGCGCCTGTGGGGAGGGATGTGGAAGGTATTCAGGCTTGATTCAGGGAACTTGAGCACAGATAAGTAAGTAAGTAAGTAAATTTATTCAGGTATACACAAATACAGTTACATAGAATTATCATACATAGCAGCATATGTGTAGAGAACCTAGGATAACCCAAAAAAGTCAGACAGAGTGACTTATTTCCATTGGGGTCCTTTTACCTTATTATTATAATATAAAGGTTATAATATAAGGTTATAAGATCCAATTCCCTTGATCAAGAGCCCCTCACCAGCATCAAGGAACCTTCTTTGAGGGGATGACCAATACCAAAAATAGCGTAAAAAATAGTATTAGTCTGCCTGAAGTGCCTGGTGGCTAAAAAAAAGTGGCTAAAAACAGAAGTGGTCTGGTGGCTAAAACTCCCGCTTCACACACGGAGGGCCCGGGTTCGATTCCCGGCGGGTGGAAATTCCGACACGTTTCCTTACACCTATTGTCCTGTTCACCTAGCAGCAAATAGGTACCTGGGTGTTAGTCGACTGGTGTGGGTCGCATCCTGGGGGACAAGATTAAGGACCCCAATGGAAATAAGTTAGACAGTCCTCGATGACGCACTGACTTTCTTGGGTTATCCTGGGTGGCTAACCCTCCGGGGTTAAAAATCCGAACGAAATCTTATCTTATCTTATCTATTATTATTATTATAATCAAAAAGAAGCGCTAAGCCACAAGGGCTATACAGCCTGAAGTGCCTAGGCACGATAGTGGCCATCTTTGTAATTAAAATCTTATAACATGTAAACCACACATTGTAAGCTTTACAAGGAAATAAATATTTATATTTGTATTTGTAGAGGCAATATTTTTAGTCGCTGGAGTGTGGTAATCATCTTCCAGAACTTGTCAGCTACTGGTCGCTGCAGCTGTTTGCTTTAACAACACTAATCTTACACACAGTTCAGGCAAGTTTTTCTTTAATGTTTTTTATTCTAATGTCAAACATTAGAAAACTGAAGATATGTATATATATTTTCATATTAAATATTGATGAATATTTCCCAGGGCCGTGATTGTGAAAATAGGTTAGTTACTGTAGTAACTACAATTACTGGCCAGGCCTCAAAACGCATGTCACACCGCAATAAAAAAAATGTGGAACGATAGCTTGATTATATCAAGGCCACTCTTATTTTAAACCAGTTTAGGAAGAGAGCTAAAATTTACCTATAGTAGGTGATTAGGCCTCAAGCATGTTTTATACAGCAATAATGGAATGGAAGGGAAAACGTGAACACGAGGCCAGTCTTAACATGAAAGAACATCTCGGGAAGTAAAGTGATTTCTTGTACAGGTAGCATATGTGTACCCATTACATGAAACCAAGCTCCGTTATTTAATGCCTATTCCGGACCCTTGGCCTGGTAGGCACCGCTCTCGCTTCACACGCTGAGTGTCAGTGGTTCAATCCCTGGCAAGGGTGGAAACATTGGGCGTGTTTCCTTACATCTGTTGTCCCGTTCACCTAGCAGGCGAGTAGGTACCTGGGTGTTAGTCGACTGGTGTGGGTGGCATCCTGGGGGACAAGATTGAGGACCCCAATAGAAATAAGATAGTCTTCAATGATGTACTGCCTTTCTAGGGTTATCCTGGGTGGCTAACCCTCTGGGGTTAAAACCCAAACAAAATCATATTTTACTTCATCACTATTGTTTCTCTTTTTATTGTAACTGATTTTCACATAGTTGAGTTACTTTAGTTTTAATTATATGGTTATAATCATAACTAATTTCTACTGTGTCTAATAGCTGAGCTGCTAATGGGATTTTTTTTTTATATTTTATTTGTCACTCAATATACATGCTACAGAGATATGTCATACAGAACATGAAAAAAAATATTGCTATACAATACAATACTGCCCTCACCCCACATGGAAACTATATACACCTCAAGGTGCTTATAGCTTGTATATGTAGTACACCTCCAGTGTACTACATATATGTATGAAAGACACTAATATATACGTATCTTTATGTAAATGTGAACATGAGAGAGGCAAACATTTATTCAATCACATCAACGTTAACTTTATGTATAACGTATCACACAGTGGTAACATCAGTTAACTAAGATGTCATAATAGCACAAAACAAACCTAACCACATTCACTCAACACAAGGTAAGAAAACACCACTGTAAGGACACGCAGGTCTCAGTATTCACCTGCACTACCACTATAAGGGCATGCAGGCCTCAACATAATGTTCACCTTCACTACCACAAAACTTGTGTGAAAATGTATACATTATTTAACAATATATTGTTACATGAAACAAAACTACACCAGTCACTGCTACAAATAAAAACAGAAAAACACAATTACAGAGATGATTCATGATTATGCAAAAGTTGTCCCTGGATCAATTATGCATCCATTCCTAAACATAATAGTAATTAATCCAATAGTACATTGCAACCTCACCCCTCTGTACAACATTCTACCACCAGCCACGCTTACAAAGGTTATGTCAACACTCCCCTTAAACCACAGTTATACTGCACCCTCACTATTATCATAATCAAAGAAAGTGCTGAACTGACAAGGGTCATGCAGTGCACCCTCACTAAAGCACTCACCTCCAATGTCATCGCACCCCCCCACCCGGAGCCTGTACCCCCAGGAATGGGCTTCCCCAGGTCACAGCACAATTAGACCCCCTATGCTGATGTCCCCATAACCACCTGGAAAACTTGACCCCCACTTACTCCCATACATAACCATATTTCTATGCTTGGTTCGACAAATCTTCGCTGCTAATATTGACGCCTTGTTCACAAATCTATGCAGTTGTACCAAAATAAATTTACTGAAGCTATAGAGAAGGAGGAAAGTGATTTCTTGTATGTATAGTTAATATTAGTGAAACTTGTATTAATTTTTTTCCATTTTCATGCTCATGTAATTAATTTTCATGTACAGTAGAACCTTGGTTTTCGTTTGCCCTGGTTTTCATCAAATTCAGTTTTCAGCAATTTTTTTCATCGAAATATTGTCCCAGTTTTCGTTCATCACCTCTGTTTTCGTCCTCTGTACCAAATGTGTCTGTCTGCCCCTACCCACACAAACCATCCCATGCATGCATTCCAAGTCAGTCTGGCTTTGTTTCTCGTCGAGTGAACATTACCCTGCACATTCATACGAAACATTTTGTAATATTCCATTATTTTTTGTGCTTGTTTATTGAGTGCAACTGCTAAATAAGCCAACATGGGGCCAAAGAAAGTTCAGAGTGCCAGCCTTTTGATAAAGAAGGCGAGAAACACGATAGAATTCAGTGATGGTAGAGGGTGGTAGTGATGGTGGTAGACGGTTGTAGTTCAATAAAGGTAAAAGTGATTTAAATGTTCATTTGTCCATTTCATTAGTGCTTTATATTTATTTCTCATTGTTTTCTGTATGTAAAACTATAGTTATTCTCTATAGAATGTACAGTGGACCCCCGCCTTACAATATTAATCCGTTCCTGAGAGCTCATCGTAAGCCGAAATTATCGTTAGCCGAATTAATTTTCCCCATAAGAAATAATGGAAATCAAATTAATCCGTTCCTGACACCCCAAAGTATGAAAAAAAAAATTTACCATATGAAATATTAATTTTAATATACACAAACTGAAGAAGACATGCACAATTACTACTCTTCTAAGAATAGAATACATGACACTTACCTTTATTGAAGATCTGGTGATGATTGATGGGATGGGAGGAGGGGAGTGTGTGGAAGTTATTGTTTAGAAGGGGAATCCCCTTCCATTAGGACTTCAGGTAGCAAGTCCTTTTCTGGGGTTACTTCCCTTCTTTTAATGCCACTAGGACCAGCTTCAGAGTCACTGGACCTGTCACACAACAAATCTGTCCATAGAGCTCTGTACCTCCCGTTCCTTTAAGACTTTCCTAAAATGGGCCATAACATTGTCATTGTACAGGTTGCCAACACGGCTTGCAGTAGCTGTGTCAGAGTGAATTTCATCCGTAAAGGTTTGCAGTTCAACTCACTTTGCACACATTTCCTTAATCTCTTTTTTCAATTCCATACTAATTCTCGTCCTTTTTACCACAGGAATGGCATTAGGAGTTTTCTTGGGGTCCATGGTGACTTATTTTGCACTTACAAGCACTAAAAACACTGGGATAATGTGAAATGTACCGAATGTATGCGTAGATGCGACCGCACTGGCTGGCTTGTAAACACTGGCGCTGGGGCCACACGCGGGACGCGTCCCAGACGAATCATGTAAGGCGAGGCAAAATTTTTGCGTTCAAATGCTTCGTATGGCGGATTTAATGTAACGTGATGCGTTCGTAAGGCGGGGGTCCACTGTATTTTTGTTAATATTTTTGGGTGTTTGGAATGGAATAATTGGATTTACATTATTTCTTATGGGAAATATTGCTTCAGTTTTCATCGCGTTCAGTTTTCGTCAGACTCTCTGGAACAAATTAAAGACGAAAACCCAGGTTCCACTGTATTCAATTTACTCATTTTATTTCATTTTTATTGTTACTAATCATGACTAATTTTTGCTGCATCTAATAGTTAAGTATTACAGGGACCCTACTGGAAGTAAGGCACTTCAACTTTTTTGGGTTATCCTAAGTAATTTACACATTCATTATTATTATACAAGACAATAATAATCTAAAATTTTCTACTGGTACCTTAATAAACTTACTCCACCCATTACACTAGGTCATGTGAACATGGTGGTGGGGTTTGTGGTTTGCATTTTTTAAAGCAGATAACTCATATTTTGTCCCCATGGTGTTTGCATGTGTATTTTTAATATTGTACAAATTGTTTAAATTTTTTTTATATTACAGCTGTTAGTACATCTTGCTAACTATTGCTGGAAGGCTTAAGGATTATAGTTTAAACTAGTAGTTACTAGATAAATGTTTGTACAGTACAGTACTAGGCTTTTTGGAATACACACTTCATTGCTCTTTTTCATGTCCTCAGGGGTAGCTTTTTTATGTTTGACTATCTCTGCATCCAACATATTGTTTGTGATGTGTGCCTGGGAGGGAGTAAAGAACAGAGGAAGGCTAGGCAAGTGAGCGGGATTAATCCATCTTAGGTACATCTAGTGTACTGTTATAGTCAGATGCATTTCTTGCTTCCTCACTTACCCTCTTAATTATTATAATAAAAACTGAGTGCTAAGCCCACAAGGGTCATATAATTCTGCTCTTACCCTCTTAAGCCGAAATCTTGAAGCTGTTTATTAATTTAAATACAGTGGGACCTCAGTATAAGTCTTTAATCTATTCCAGGACCTTGGACTTACGCCAAATAGGACGTATACCAAACGAATTCCTCCTTAAGAAATACAGTGGACCCCCGGTTAACGATATTTTTTCACTCCAGAAGTATGTTCAGGTGCCAGTACTGACCGAATTTGTTCCCATAAGGAATATTGTGAAGTAGAATAGTCCATTTCAGACCCCCAAACATACACGTACAAACGCACTTACATAAATACACTTACATAATTGGTCACATTCGGAGGTAATCGTTATGCGGGGGTCCACTGTATAGGGAAAACAATTAATCCATTCCCATGAAAAAAAAATCCTATTATTGGCATATTATACATCGATGGGTTGTATAAAATAATTTAAACACTGCTTAATACCAAAATACATACATAAATACAAAAGAATTAGATGAAATCAATGCAAATTTAACCTCACTTTACTTGGCTGAAAAGTCGAGTGCCTACTAGGATAGTCTGAGAAGGGAGGAGGAGGAGGAAGTCTTATTGCTTGGAAGGAGAATCCCCTTCTCTTTTCTGTATCTTTTTCCTATTTGAGCCAGGTTTGACTTTTACATTAATGTCTTATTTTACATTAATATAGACATTTTCATTAATCCATCTATGATATTTTCTATAAAATTATATAAGAAACACGTTACACAGCATATAAACATGCTATGTTTATATGCCGGGTGGAGGGAAAACATTACGTTTTCTCTGGTCCAGCACCAAAGAAAACATGTATGAATTTGTGTTTGGCCAAGTCACTCTGCTTTTGTTTACAATTCCCGGCATGAACTATTCATAACTTCTCTCTTCGTTTATGATGGCATACAAAGGTAGTTGTTAGAAATGATTAAACTCAGTGAACATGGTATGTTGATGGTAATAATATGGCTCTGGACTGCATTAAATATCGTATAGCTGTGTAGCCCAGGCTATCTACATCTACTAGTTACCAACACCTGACTTCCTACAAATAAATACTACTCACCTCTTATCCTACATTAACCCTTAAATTGTCTAAACATAGCTCTACGTTCACGTGCGTAGCACTCTAAACATAGATCTAAGTTTTTTTACTTAAAGCGTGTAAAATAAAACATACGGAGCACTATGCATGTGAACGCAGATCTGTGTTTGGACAGTTTAAGGTTTAAGACTACACATATTTTAAGGTAATAATGAGTTTACTGTATGTATATTTTATCTCTCTGGGCTGCTTTAAATATCATATATTAATTAAGTTTGGGACAGGGAGCCAGGGCTACCTACACCTGACTTCCTACAAATAAGTACAAGGGTAGCGTTCGGTGTCGTGACTCATTTTGACTGATAAAAGTTCTAGTACCCGAGTCATATTCCAAACAAAGGTGGTATATCAAGCAAAAATTTTCGCATCCAAACAGGATGTATACCAAGTTGGACGTATTCCAAAGCGGACGTATACCGAAGTACCACTGTAGTTTTCTGTGAAATTCCTCATAATATTTGGGCAGTAACTGGTGTGGCAGTGCAAGCAGTCAGCCACCCTTTTCACACTCGTGACCAGTGTTCCTCGTATACTATAAAAAACTTTACTTTTATTTTATATTAAGCCCCATGCAAAATATTAACTTGGAAATAGCATCCCATCATTCATTGTAAGATTAGGGGAGGATTGCAGACTGATTATATAAATGATGTTCTCTCTTTTTCTTAACGGTTATGTAGGTTTTTAGAAAAAATACCAGGTAGTCTACTGTAGAAGGCCCTAGAGACAGCATTAGCAATGCAATATTTTTTTTTATCAACCACAAAATAATTTTTTTTTTTTTTTTTTTTTTTTTTTTCAACAAGTCGGCCGTCTCCCACCGAGGCAGGGTGACCCAAAAAAGAAAGAAAATCCCCAAAAAGAAAATACTTTCATCATCATTCAACACTTTCACCACACTCGCACATTATCACTGTTTTTGCAGAGGTGCTCAGAATACAACAGTCTAGAAGCATAAACATATAAAGATACACAACATATCCCTCCAAACTGCCAATATCCCAAACCCCTCCTTTAAAGTGCAGGCATTGTACTTCCCATTTCCAGGACTCAAGTCCGACTATATGAAAATAACCGGTTTCCCTGAATCCCTTCACTAAATATTACCCTGCTCACACTCCAACAGATCGTCAGGTCCCAAGTACCATTCGTCTCCATTCACTCCTATCTAACACGCTCACGCACGCTTGCTGGAAGTCCAAGCCCCTTACCCACAAAACCTCCTTTACCCCCCTCTCTCCAACCCTTTCGAGGACGACCCCTACCCCGCCTTCCTTCCCCTATAGATTTATATGCTTTCCATGTCATTCTACTGTGATCCATTCTCTCTAAATGACCAAACCACCTCAACAACCCCTCTTCTGCCCTCTGACTAATACTTTTATTAACTCCACACCTTCTCCTAATTTCCACACTCCGAATTTTCTGCATAATATTTACACCACACATTGCCCTTAAACAGGACATCTCCGCTGCCTCCAACCGTCTCCTCGCTGCTGCATTTACCACCCAAGCTTCACACCCATATAAGAGTGTTGGTACTACTATACTTTTCATACATTCCCTTCTTTGCCTCCATAGATAACGTTTTTTTGACTCCACATATACCTCAACGCACCACTCACCTTTTTTCCCTCATCAATTCTATGATTAACCTCATCCTTCATAAATCCATCCGCCGACACGTCAACTCCCAAGTATCTGAAAACATTCACTTCTTCCATACTCCTCCTCCCCAATTTGATATCCAATTTTTCTTTATCTAAATCATTTGACACCCTCATCACCTTACTCTTTTCTATGTTCACTTTCAACTTTCTACCTTTACACACATTCCCAAACTCATCCACTAACCTTTGCAATTTTTCTTTAGAATCTCCCATAAGCACAGTATCATCAGCAAAAAGTAACTGTGTCAATTCCCATTTTGAATTTGATTCCCCATAATTTAATCCCACCCCTCCCAAACACCCTAGCATTTACTTCCTTTACAACCCCATCTATAAATATATTAAACAACCATGGTGACATTACACATCCCTGTCTAAGACCTACTTTTACCGGGAAGTAGTCTCCCTCTCTTCTACACACCCTAACCTGAGCCTCACTATCCTCATAAAAACTCTTTACAGCATTTAATAACTTACCACCTATTCCATATACTTGCAACATCTGCCACATTGCTCCTCTATCCACTCTATCATATGCCTTTTCTAAATCCATAAATGCAATAAAAACTTCCCTATCTTTATCTAAATACTGTTCACATATATGCTTCAATGTAAACACCTGATCTACACATCCCCTACCCACTCTAAAACCTCCTTGCTCATCCGCAATCCTACATTCTGTCTTACCTCTAATTCTTTCAATTATAACCCTACCGTACACTTTTCCTGGTATACTCAGTAAGCTTATTCCTCTATAATTTTTACAGTCTCTTTTGTCCCCTTTCCCTTTATATAAAGGGACTATACATGCTCTCTGCCAATCCCTAGGTACCTTCCCCTCTTTCATACATTTATTAAACAAAAGTACCAACCACTCCAACACTATATCCCCCCCTGCTTTTAACATTTCTGTCATGATCCCATCAGTTCCAGCTGCTTTACCCCCTTTCATTTACGTAATGCCTCACGTACCTCCCCCACACTTACATTCTGCTCTTCTTCACTCCTAAAAGATGGTATACCTCCCTGACCAGTGCATGAAATTACTGCCTCTGTTTCTTCCTTAACATTTAAAAGTTCCTCAAAATATTCTCGCCATCTACCCAATACCTCCATCTCCCCATCTACTAACTCCCCTACTCTGTTTTTAACTGACAAATCCATATTTTCCCTAGGCTTTCTTAACTTGTTTAACTCACTCCAAAATTTTTTCTTATTTTCATTAAAATTTCTTGACAGTGCCTCTCCCACTCTATCATCTGCTCTCCTTTTG